ATACAAAAAATATATGATAAAAAGCTTTCAATTTTATTGATTAGCGTCTATTGAAATGAAATGTTGGCTAAAATACATTAACGAGAGAGAGAGAGAGAGAGAGAGAGAGAGAGAATGTGTGTGTTTTCTGATTGATTTGTTTTGACTTTCAGTACAGAAACTGTTTTGCGTGTTACAGAGAAAGAGGTATATTTTATTAGATATTTTAAATATTTATTGTTATAATAATGTTTCACTAATAATAATAAAACTAATAAATATTATATTATTGACTAAAATTAGTGCATAAATTGAATATAAAACTTATGCTTTTGTGTGCCATTAAGTGGATGCAGTGAAGCGATTAAATAAATATTATATTATATTAACTGTTATAACCATAGAGTTGGTAATGAGTACATTTAGAGTACGGAGTGTGTTGTGCTTGATGTTTCTATATAGCTATTATACCTGCACTTCACATATCATGTTACAGTCATATAAGGTGTGCGTCAACTATATTGTATAGTAAAGGGCATACGATGTGACCAAATAAGTAACGTTTATAGTGAGTAATGTATGAAAATTACCAAGATCAAACAAAAAATCACGTCTATTGATTAACAAGGTTTACTACCTGTAGGTTATAACAGTAAGGAATACACACAGAATATTCTGACTTATGATATACTATATATATTTGGAGCACTCGTTGTTGTGTTGATGTTGTGCCTAATGGACCCGGAATTTGCAAATTGTTGTATTATATTCTCAACTCAAGAAATCTTAAAAACATTGTACTGTAATCTTCGTCAATGAAACTCAACACTAAATTATAGCACTTTTCATATTAATATTGTCGTTATTTTGTTGTTAATATACAAAAACTATTAAAATACATAAAAGAATAGTAATATTAAATATATTAAATTTAGATATTAAACAAAAATCTGTGATTATTTATATTATGGATCGAAAGCATCAATAATTTATTAGATTCAGTGCGAGTCTGTGTGAAGAATCTCTTGTATGGGCTCTCTATTCCTCCTCCACTTCACTACCTTTTCATGTATTGATTAGTTTTTTACCTCAAAGTATTGTTTCGCTAAAGTTTTCGCTATAATTCTGTGATATTTTTTTAACTGATACCGTCTATCACTGGCACCGATTGTTTCACTCGTTTTCAATTTGTTATTAATTAAGTTTATAAATGTTTTATATTTTATGACTATTATATACTTCTTTCATACACTCTCTCCCATATTTTCTCACTTTATTTCTTCATTCGTGTGATATATGTTATACCAACCAAACATTGATATCAATATTGATTTTGATATAGTTTTAATCGTTATAAAGTTGTAGTGATATTAAAACTATTTTATTTTGTGTCGCGAACTGAAAAATATTTAATATTTTAATCTAAAATTGTTTCCCAAATATCAAAGTAATGGTCGACTCAATCGATTTGATCGCAATTTGTGTGTCGACTATAACTTTTGTGATCGTCAACCAAACGATAGTGAAGTATCTGAGGCCGGAGTCCATCACAATCAACACATTCCTGGACTGGAAGTTCCGCAATATATTCACATCTCTTTTGCACTCATTTATCGTTGGCTTTGGCATCCTTTACGTGTAAGCATTGAATTTATTTTCAATCAATTATAATATCATGTATTATATACACAATTAAAAATTTACTCGTTTTTCATGTGTTTGTGTATGAGTTACAGCGTAAGGGAGGGGTTGAGCACCGGGTGGGCGTCAGGCGTGTGTGTTTGTGTGCACACAAGTGATGCTCAAAGTATATTATTATAAATCTATCAATTATTCAATTTTATAATTTTATTTCACCGGTTTATGTCCCTCACAACACACAGAGCCTTAAGTTTAGTTTAGACCATATAATGCCAGAAAAGTGGGGAAATTGTTTTTAATGAAACGTATATATTGAATCATCAAGGTATTTTGGTAAAATTAATATACACTAAATGTGAATAACATATGAATAGTGTATGAATAACGTTAAGCTATTTTTCATAAGAGGAGCTTGAAGAGGAGCCCATGGCATTTGATGGTTTAGACATAGAGTTTAAGTTGATATTAAATTAACAAAAAACTAATTAGTATTTTATAATTTGTTTTATTTAATTTGCAATTCCTACATGGTATTTGTTTGCTATACAATTTCTATGAATATACAATTCTCTCAATAAGTAATTACAATTCTTTACTATAAGCTTCTGTTCTAAGAATTTGCATGAAATGTGCGTTAAAACATGATTACCATATTTATTTATTAAACACCTATAATTATATTTCCCTGGAAGTCATGCTTTGATTTCAATAGAATCTAAATTATTATTATTAACAGAATATTAACACGAATTGAAAACATATTTTAATAATAGTACAAAACACTAGCCATGTTTGTAGTACAGAATCTATTGATATAATATTACATACATTACATACAAGTACATTCACTAGTGGTATAAAAAATAAATTAAAATACAATATGCAAATAAAATGCGAAATTAATTTGCATTTCCAGTATTCTAAGCGATGGATCGATTGTATCAGATATGATGAGCGGTCAGTCGGAAGCTGGCGAAGCCTTCCTATGCATATCTACCGGTTATTTCGTGTACGACCTGATGCTGTCCATCACTAATCTGCAATACCCGGGCCGAGTGGAGATCATTGTACACCACGTGATCACACTGTCGTGTCTGGCCGTCTCGCTCTATAACAAAAAGTTTTTGGCCTATTGTATGGTCGGTCTGACGGTCGAGATCTCCTCCTTCTTCATTCACGTCAGGGAACTGTTAATACTTTCCGGTGTTTACAAGACGTCGATTGTATACTTCTTGAATAGTATACTAACTATTTGTGAGTTTTCGACATAGATTTACTTTAATAATAATAAATTACATTTGATTAAAGTGTGGCTAATAATGAATGATATGTGTATTTGCAGTCACTTTAATAGTGTTTCGCTTTCTGCCGTTGAGTTGGATTTCGATCGGCTTATACACCGATAGACAACACATCGGATTACCGTTACTTCTAATGGCTGTCCTGTTTCTGGTGATCATATTCATGGTGTCCAGCGTTTTGCTGTATAGAGTGGTCATAAGTGACTGCAATTCGGCCATCACTCGGCATGTCATCCATTTTATAGCGACGATAACCAATAAATTTCATCTCAAGTGCTCATCGAAAGTGAAGAAATTTTTTTAATTTACAAAAACACAACAACAGACCAATTGATTGACAATAAATCTTAATGAAAGTATAATAATTTTATTTAATTATAATAATTATAATGATAATAAATGAATTCAATCATGTTTATATAGCAATAATGTATAAATGAATTAAATCTATAAATAAAATAAAAAGAAAGAAATTTCTATTTACGTTAGAATTTAATGATGGTTTAAATGCCAGACCACACCCGATGTGTACTGTATATGTATGTTATATCGACAACAAAACCCATTTTTGTATCGCATTTTATTAATACTTGTATTCAATCATCGGTTCTGAAATTTAAACAATTTGGACCCAAAAATCTCGAGTCTTTTATCTCAAAGTTCAGCCTATTTTTGGATTCAATGAGCTTTTAATACTGCTTTTTCCTCTATGTTTACGTTGGAAGTACTTAAGCAATAAATTAAACGTTTGGTACCAATCAGTTCTCAAATCCAATCACACAATGATTGAGGATTTGTATCAATATTTTATAAATTTAAGTATATTTTTATATCTCTACTCCATTACAAACTCTAATCATTGATTTGTTTTAAGCCATTCCCAGCACTTAATCAATGAATATTAAGCCAAAAAAGTTATCGTAAATATAAACCCATCCCTAAAACAAAGACAATCCTGTGATCCTTTCATTTCATAAAAATAATAGTCCATTAAGTGTATGAAAAACATATGATTTATAGACTATTTTTATTGTCAAAGATTTGCTTCTTGTCATCGCATAAAACTAAAAGCCATTCGTTTGAAGAATATTCTTATAATTCCAACATTGATTAATCGTGCCATACATTCTCGCCATCTCTCTCTCTCTCTCTCTCTCTCTCTCTCTCTCTCTTTATTTTTCTTTCGATATGTAATAAAATTCATTTTTAACTTTTACAATCAATTTATTTTTTATTTTTTTAATCAAACTAATAAATCTAAATAACAAACACTTATTAATGCACAGTATATTTAAATATAAACTACATAACAATTAAAACACATTTCATAAAACTCCTCTAAAATATACAATTAATATCATTTTTTATCACGAGTCAGTTCTTCAGTGGATTTTATCCATTCTTCATAAGATTGTCTGAAAGTAAGAGAAAAACAATAATAAATACAAATTAAACACAATTATGACACCAAATACTAATCATTAGAAACCTGTTATTAACGACATGTTGATAATCGCGTCCATTATTCCTCCACTTCTCATCCATGCGTTTAAGAGATCTCTTGGATATCGCGTATTGAAACAGATGTAAGAGACAACCGATGAAGACGAGGAAAAAGCAGCCCAAAAGCACTTTCTCTTTGGGATACAGTTTATGCGGTCCTCTCATATCGCCATANGCGTTTAAGAGATCTCTTGGATATCGCGTATTGAAACAGATGTAAGAGACAACCGATGAAGACGAGGAAAAAGCAGCCCAAAAGCACTTTCTCTTTGGGATACAGTTTATGCGGTCCTCTCATATCGGCATATCTGGTGCGGCGGCCATCATATGGTCGGCCATACGCTGAGCCATACTCTGGACGTGTCCTACTATCCCAAGAGTCGCTACCCGTGTAATGGCTATAATACGAGGTGCCGTGGAATCGGTCGGTGCGGCTCTCTCTCATCCATCGGTCGTAATCACGGCGTCGGTCATCATTGATGAGACACTTGTAAGCGGTGTTAATGTCCTGAAGTCTGGTGTGATTCTGCTGTCGGACGCGTTGATCGTCGGATTGGTTCAAATCGGGGTGAAATCGTTTGCAGAGTTTGAGATACGAGACGCGGATCCGCTTCCGATCGCACCGCTCGTCGACTCCCAGTATTTGGTAATAGTTTTGCGATAAACTGACCGTTAGTTCAATCGGTTATTCAAATATAAAATTCACATTTTTATAATCAATTCAAAGTGTGATTCAAA